CATCATCATCATCATCATCATCATCATCATCATCATCATCTTCATCTTCATCATCACCGCATCAGAATAGGTATTAATAGGAGTAGTTATAGGAGTATCGAGAGTAATAGTAGCAGTAGTAATGTTATAAGCAGCATCGGTAGTAGTGGTAGCACTAGTGGCGGAATTAGTTTTCGTAGTGATGTTAGTAGCAGTGGTAGTGAAAGTAGCGGCCTTAGTACAAGTAGCATTAGTGATAGTATTAAAGGTAATGGTAGTCGTCGTGTTAGTAAAAGTTTTAGTATTGGTAGTTGTTATAATAATAATCATAGTGACACCGATAGTGGGCATTCACCACTGTGATAACTGCTTTCCAGATATATACATATATATTATTTATAGAACTATATCTAGAACTAATCAATCTCTGGCAATTCTACAATAAGTACTACCACCAGGTAAAGGGAACCCCAATGGACTCACCGATATCTGGACTACTGGCACAATTAGTATTGCAGCGATTGGAGGAAGAGGTTTTTCAAAGCCTTAAGCCCACAGTGTGGCTCCGTTATGTAGATGACACGTTTGTCACAATAAAGAACAACGATGTCGAAGTGCTACACTAGAGACTGAATGATGTGTCCCAGCCATACAGTTTACTCGTGAAAGCGCAGTAGGGGACACGCTGCCTTTTCTTGATGTTACAATATAAAAACTGAGCGATGGCAGTCTAGCCACAAGCGTCTACAGGAAAGGCTTCAGTGTAGATATTATCCTAAATTATGGTAGCAACCACCCCGCTGCTCACAAAAGAATCTGCATCCAAACTCTATTTCATCGAGCTTATCGCTATCGCAACAGTGGCGAACCCCTCAAGAAAGAACTTGCTTACCTATATCGGTTGTATCGATCTAACGGATATCCGACCAGTTTCGTAAAAAAATGTCTCAGGCGTCAAGCACAACCACAAGCCATCAACCCTAGTGGAGGAATGGCGATGCGAAAATTCTACTCCCCTCCTTATATGCAGGGAACTTCCGAAGTAATCGCCAGACAGTTACGTCCCTTCGATATCCACATCGGGCACAAATCAGCATCACCATTACGTGCAGCGCTATTACGTATGAAGGATCCTATAGCAAAGGAACAACAATCCAACGTGATTTATCGCATACCATGCGCAGATTTCTATTGCGCGTATGTTGGTCACATGGGTCGACTCCTGGGTACCCGTATCAAGGAACATAAATTAGCTGTCCTTCGCAAGGACCTCCTGTCCCTCGTCTTCGCACACGCAATCGAGTGCTGCCATCGATTTAATTGGGATGACACGGAAATCGTCTCCATGGCCAACACAAAACCAGCGCGTGAATTTCTCGAGGCTTGGTACTCTACGG